TGGCAGCAGGTTATGTTGGCATCAACTAAGGAGTGGAGACCCTATATTGGCATCAAGTTATGTTGGCATCAGGTTATGCTGGCATCAACTAGGGAGTGGAGACCCTATGTTAGCATCAACTAGGGAGTGGTGAACCTATGTTGGCATCATGTTATGCTGGAATCAACTTGGGAGTGGAGACCCTATGTTGGCATCAACTAGGGAGTGGTGACCCTATGTTGGCATAGGTTATGTTGGCAGCAGGTTATGCTGGCATCAACTGGGTAGTGGAGACCCTATGTTGGCATCAGCAAGGGAGTGGTTATACTATGTTGGCATCAGGTTATGCTGGCATCAACTACGGAGTGGAGACCCTATGTAGGCATCAAGTTATGTTGGCATCAGGTTATGATGGCATCAACTAGGGAGTGGAGACCCTATGTTGGCATCAACTAGAGAGTGGTGACCCTATGTTGGCATCAGGTTATGTTGGCATCAACTAGGGAGAGGAGACCCTATGTTGGCATCAACTAGGGAGTGGTGACCCTATGTTGGCATCAGGTTATGTTGGCAGCAGGTTATGCTGGCATCAACTAGGGAGTGGAGACCCTATGTTGGCATCAACTAGGGAGTGGTGAACGTATATTGGTATCAGGTTATGTTGGCATTAACTAGGGAGTGGAGACCCTATGTTGGAAAAGCGACTAGGGAGTGCAGACCCTATGTCTAGAAGTAAAATCAACTAGGGATTGGAGACCTTATGCTGGAAAAAAAATGCAACTAGGGATTGGAGACCCTATACTACCATGAATTTGAACTTTTCTTCTTTTCTTTCTTTTTATTTCATTTTTTTTCATCGTTTTTTTTATTTAAGAAAATGAGTAAAAATGCAGGAAAGAATTTGGAGGAGACTTCCCTTTCGGATTGATTATTGCTGCAGAGCTATTTTAGTCTGTGCGTGGTTTCCTTTTGTTGCACCTGCTTCTTGCAATGTTGCTTTGAATTATACCTGTTTCCTGTTTTTCCAACAAAGAACAATTTGTCAGTTTGAAACAGTGGTTGGCTTTGTGGCCTTGAGCGTTTCAGTCACTTGATCTCGGCCCGTTTTCTTTGATGAAGATCTCAACTGCAATTGCTTGTTCCCTGAGGACCGATTTCATTTCTGGCCCTAGAGAACTTGTCTTTTCCAAAACATTACCATGATGGTTAATCACGTGGGACTTAACCTTTTTCAACTTTATTTCGCCTTCGTAGGCATTTGACTTTAATTTCCTTTCTTTTCAGGAGTTTTTGAGCATCGACCATCATGGCCAATCGAAGTCGACTCAGTGCACCTGCCGAGGCTGGGTGCCTTCTTGAGCATTGGCTCGTGTCAAACAAAAGCCCAGTAAATCAATCTTGTAATCCTTTCTTTATCTTAGTTTCAGAACAGAATTAGACCGAAAGGGATTCAGAAAAAACTAACATTGAAATGGACAAATGAACTTAGACGAGAGATATCCCTTTCTGGGAAAGGAAGAAGACTTAGCTGGAGTACATGCAAACTTCAATGAACATGACATGCCTGATCTGTGTAAACAGTCCAACTCTCAAAAATTCATCATAACTTATACCTCAAAATTGAGAAACCTTGCCAAGACTCTGTCAATGTTGATGGCTGTGAGGATCTCCTTTTCGATCAGTAGCTCCCTTTGCGGGTTTTCACCAGCCAACCTCTCTCATTTCTCTTCTCAACGTCACCTTGTAGTGCTCTTAGCAAGTTTTCACCAACAAGACTCTCTCATTTCAATTTTTCTGCTTACCATCGCCATACGGTGCCTGTGAGGGTTTTCACCCATAAGACTCACTTATTTTATTTTTCTCATTTTGATTGTATCAGATCCAAATGATTGTATCCTCCAATTATTTAAACGTTCTCGCCGATTGATCAGAAGGACTTCAAAAGGATTTGGGTAAAAAGAATTTGAACTGAATTACAACCTTGGAACCTTTCAGGCAAAACCATTACCGAAACATTATAACATCTACCCCAATTTCACTTTCGGGGAAATTTAGATTTTTGTTTTGGTGTGAATGAACCCCAGAGAGAGGCTGCCTACGTATCCTTTCGGAATCAAGTCGAACGTAGTTCAAGGAACTTTGTTTTTTTTACTTTTCATAATAACTTCCTAGTTCCAAAGAGGGTAATCAACGAAAAAAGGGAAGCAAGTCAAAGGGTTTGCAGGGGTTGGTAGTGTTTGGGTAGCGAGAATGAAGGCCTTCGTCATCCCAATCAGAGAGCATTAAAATTGCGTAAAAAGGGTCAAACACAATACCTTTTGACTGCATATGCATTGACAGCTATTTCGGGATCACTTCCTTCGATGTCTCTCAAATACAGCGCTCCTTTTGGCAACAGTTTTCTTACAATGTACGGACCTTTCCAATTTGGAGAAAATTTTCCTTTTGCTTCCTCATGATGCGGGAGAATACATCTCAGAATAAGTTGCCCTACTCCAAAGCTTCTAGGCCGCACTTTCTTGTTGTAGGTACGGGCCATTCTTTGTTGGTACAACTGCTCGTGGCAAACTGCAGCCATTCGTTTCTCATCAATCATAATTAATTGTTCCAATCGGGTCTTGACCCATTCATCATCCTTGATCTCAGCTTCAACAATGATTCGAAGAGAGGGAATCTCGACTTCTACAGGTATTACGGCTTCAGTGCCATAAACCAATAAATAGGGTGTGACCCCAACTGATATACGCACGGTTGTGCGATATCCCAATAATGCAAAAGGCAACTTTTCATGCCATTGTCTAGAACTTCGAATCATTTTCCTGAGGATCTTCTTGATATTCTTGTTTGCCGCTTCAACAGCACCATTAGCTTTGGTCCGATAAGGGGTAGAATTTTGATGCGTAACTTAAATTGTTCGCATACCTCCCTCATCAAGTGGGTGTTCAGGTTTGCAGCATTGTCTGTAATGATAGTTTTAGGAATACCAAAACGACAAATAATGTTGGAATGCATGAAGTACACTACTGCTTTCTTGGTGACGGCTTTGAAAGTGACTGCTTCAACCCACTTTGTGAAATAATCAATGGCAACCAAGATGAATATGTGCCCATTTTAAGCTTTTGGCTCGATCGACACAAATGACATCCATACCCCAAGCAACGAACGTCCAAGGAGCTGACATGGGATTCAACTCTGAAGGCGGTACATGAATCAGGTCACCGTGTATCTGACACTGATGGCACTTCCGGACAAAACTGAAGCAATCCTTTTCCATGGTCATCCAGTAATAACCTGCTCAAAGGATTTTCTTTGCAAGGACATATCCGTTCATGTGGGGCCCACATCCTCCCGAATGTACTTCGTTCATGATGAATCCAGCCTCTTAGGCATCTACACACCTTAAAAGATTCAGATCTGGAGTTCTTTTGTACAAAATTCTCCGCTTAAAAAGAAACTGCTGGCAAGCCTTCTAATGATCCTCTTTTGGTCTCCACTGGCCTGCTCGGGGTATTCCTTTGTTTTCAAAACCCTTTTGATATCATGGTACCACGGTTGAACATCTGGTTCTATTTCAACTGCACTACAACAACCATGTCTTTCTCGAATTTGGATCTCCAACAGGTCAATATGGACATTGCCCGGATACGGCAGCATTGCAGCCAAGGCAGCTAGTGCATCGGCTGACTCATTGTGGAATCGAGGAATATACCTGAATACAACGGACTTGAACCGTTTGCTAAGATCTTCCACATGTTTCCTGTATGGGATAAGCTTGATGTCTCGAGTTTCCCATTCACCCTGGCCTTGCCGAATGATCAAATCAGAATCTCCCATGATAGACAATTCTTCCACATCCATGTCAACTGCCATATTTATACCCATAATGCAGGCTTCAAATACAGCAGTGTTGTTTGTACAGAAGAACCGAAGTCGGGCTGTGGCTGGATAGTGCTGACCAGTGGGCCAAATCAAAATTGCCCCAATCCCGACATCTTTTGCGTTTACAGTTCCAGCAAAGAACATTTTCCAAGCATTGGTGTCTTCTGGAATTAATTCAACTGAATTTACTTCCTCGTCCGGAAAGTAAGTACTCAGGGGTCGGTATTCATCAAAAACCGGGTTCTCAGCTAGGTGATCCGCCAAGGCTTGAGCTTTCATCGCCGTGCGGGTGACATAGACAATGTCAAACTCAGTGAGCAGGATTTGCCATTTTGCTAACCTTCCCGTAGGCATTGATTTTTGGAATATGTACTTCAGAGGATCCATTCTGGTTATGAGATATGTGGTGTAGGCCAACAGATAACGCCTAAGCTTCTAGGCGACCCAAGTTAGGGCACAGCAAGTTCTTTCCAACAAAGTGTACTTGGCTTCATAACTAGTGAACTTCTTGCTCAAATAGTATATGGCTTGCTATCTCTTCCCGGTCACATCATGTTGACCCAGGACACAGCCGAAAGAATTTTCCAGGACTGTAAGGTACAAGAAAAAAGGTCTTCCTGGCTCGGGTGGAACCAATACTGGTGGATCCGACAGATATTCTTTGATTTTGTCAGAGGCTTCTTGACACGCATCCGTCTATCCGATTGCCGCATCTTTCTTCAACAGCTTAAATATGGGCTCACATGTGGTTTTCAGCTGAGAAATAAACCTGCTGATGTAATTCAATCTTCCTAGCAGGCTCATGACCTCTTTCTTGGTTCTTGGAGGTGGCAAATACAGAATAGACTTTATCTTTGTTGGATCTAACTCGATACCCCTCCGACTAACTATAAACCCCAAAAGTTTTGCCAGATGGAACTCTGAATGCACATTTAGCTTGATTCAATTTCAAGTGGTACTTGCGCAGACGCTTAAAGAACTTTCTCAGATCCCGCACATGGTCTTCCTGCGTTCTAGATTTAATGATCACATCATCCACATACACCTCAATTTCCTGGTGCATCATTGTTGTGCCCCATTTTTCCCTCCTTTTTTACGGGGAAGAAGGTCCGGGTTTCGACATTCATGGGGGTAGTAACTCATTTCCTTTTGGGAATTGGGTATTTTGAAGAGTCGCCACCTAACGGATTATGGTGCGTTAGGGCACCTAGAGCGATTAACTCTTGGATTGGTTTGCATTACCAGAGAATTAGGGTAAGGGCTCGAAATAACCTTGAGGGGAAGGTGTTAGGCACCCCTCTCGGTCCACAATGGTGGGTCCCAGACGAACTAATATTTATGAATTAGTCCATTAACAAATAAGTAGTTTAATCGAATAGTTTGCAAGTAAAGCACGTTGGACATTGTATAACTCAAATAATAGGACAAAGGTTTTGAACAAGTTGCATACATTTAAAACAAAGTTTTAAATAGAGGGGATTTGGGAAAGGAGGGGTCCTAGGTTGTTTAGCCTACAGGATCACCCCACACAATGTCCGGTAAACACTCCTCAATGAGGGGCTACACGTGACATTAGTGCGTAGTCATCATATCCCATATCTACCCTTCCCACCCCGTGATCGTAGTCTAAAGTGTGCTAGTAAACTTGACTATGCCTATGCGTGCACTACCCGTCCCTTCTTTGTGGCCCTGGAGGTATTTTAGGGCCTCTAAATCTGGGTAGTTCTAGACGACCCCTAAGGTTCTTAAAAGGAGAAAACTCTAAGGCGAAAGGCAAGAACAAATAGGAACTTAGCACATAAGGCAGAAAAGAAGCAATTAGAGGCTCAAGTTCACCTCCACAGATAATGCGTGTAAACTGCACGACTCAAACACTAATAAGGGTAATATTGTTAAATAGTATCCCAAGACATGATGTCTAGGCGAATATCAGAATACATGAGATACGCAGTTTTTATTTTTATAAACTCAGAAGTAATGGCCTTATCTGTTTGCCTACTGATTTTAAGCCTGCTAAAGTCAGAACAACATTAAGTAGCAGAAACAGCTTCAGAGCTGCAGGATTTGAAAACGCCCTATAGGCTTGCCTACACGCTGAATAGTGGCGTCCTAAGAGCATGATGACTATGTTTGACATAGTAAAATAGTGGACAGATTTTAAAATAGACCCTTGAGTTCCTATAGGCATTCTTTCTAATAGTGAATTAGGTCAATACTCGAAAGAATTCATTTCAGGAAAAACAAACCACTAATTAGACCAGTTTCGAAGTAAACTAATCATGAACTGGATTAACTTATTTAAACTAAACTGATTTTAGATCTATAGGCAGAATTTCTGGCGTTGTTCCCTATAGACATGGTATCTAATTGTTAAGAGCTGATGTTGGAAACTTGTAGGCATGATAACAAATGAAAACACATGTAAATACCTGTTATAACAGAAATTGAACTGGATCACATCCTATAAGCATGGTATCTACTTGTGAAGTTGATTTTAAGACCTATAAATATGATTTCTATTATTGGACCCACTTGAGACCTATAGGCATGATTTCTAGCATGGTAAGGCAAACGTAACAAATATAAAATCCTATAGGCATGGTTTCTACCCATTTACTCCACAAATATGTAACTACCCACCCTTTTTCACTAGTCACCCCAATGTTCGTTTACAAATTATTACAAACCAGATGAATGAATTACATAAATAGATAAAAGAAAAGAAGAAGCTACACTAGGGAGCCTAAAGCAGGCCCAAGCGATTTCCCAAGACCTCCAATAGCCTCAAATGCCAATTTCATAGACAATATCATTGTCTAGGTGCGTTAGAGTTCCCTAAGGATCTCAAGGATCCCGGGCAGTGCTCACACCTAGACTTTGAAACCAAATTGAGTAAGTGCAGTATGGAAGGGCCAACCTCAGTGTGCCAGAGTTCAGAGTGTTCTAAGGGGAGGCAGTACACACACTGGAGGGGGCAGAACCTAGTGACTTAGGAGTAGAGTAAGAGTGCTTGACACAGTTTTAAAGGTTTCAGTAGGAAACCAGTGTTAAAAAGAGATTTGCTTGAAATAGTTTTGTAAGAAAACACATAGGGAGTTATTAAATAAGACAATTTTTAAAAAAGGGTAAGGTGTCTGACAATCAATCAAACCAAATACAAAACCAAAAGAAGTTCATCAGCACTTCAATACATGGAGTCAAACAGGTGCACACATCCACTTAGGGGTAATGGGGATTTGGGGTAAGCATAGGGCACATAGTAAGCACAGATGCACATAGGTACAGAATCAGAGGAGCCGTAAAAAGGGTCAAGGCTTTAAAGTAGCATGAACTTTAGAGTTAATACAGAATCAATAGGCTTAGGATAGCCAATTACTTCATACAGGAAGGTGCATTCCAGGGATCAGAGAAACATAGTCATATTGGGGCACACTAGAAGGGGATCCTAAGGGGGTATATAGCATGCAACAAAGAAGACAGCGAAGTAGGCATGTTAATTGCAGGTTGAACAACAAAACCATAGATAGAAGCATATTAGAAACATGACAAATTGAAGTAATAGGAGAAGAATATTGTTCTGGGACTTGAATTAAAATCAGAACATACCAGTAAGGGGATAGCAAACACAAAGTGAAAGAGAACCCAGTAGTTAGCCTTGGCTTGCAGCCAGCTGACTTTAGACAGTAGTAACACAAAAGAGAGCAGAAAGCTTTTAGTGTGAAAGAGAGAGTTTTTGAACCAATGTGCCTCCCTTGTGTTAATGAGAGAGTATGTATATATAGTAGTTCGAAACTAGGTAAAATAAGGCAAGAATCACAATAGTATAGTAATTATGGAACTCAGAACCAATTAGAGCAAAATCAGTACAAGTACTCCCTTAATTTAAGGGAATCAATTCAAACGGTAAGAACAAGTAACAAATAAGGAAAGAAATCAATGTACGACCAATAAGGAAAGATTTCAAATATAGTAAGTATAGGGTAAACAATTAGGGCTAAGTTTAGAAAAACTCTAATTAAGGAGATAGTCAGTAAGAATAAAGTACCAATGCCGACAAGGTAGGCGGATCAATTAATTTTGGAATAGAAAGGGTAGGAATTGAAAGTTTAAAGGAGGGTCTTACAATCAAACCATGAAACAGGGAATCCAGAATCAATCAAAGAGAAAGTCACGAGTAAGTGTTTAGCATATAAATAGAGCAAGATAAGGATAACCAGACTTAGCAAGCAAAGAGGCAAGTCTTGAACAGTCAAGATGAACACAAGCACATAGAGATGATATAAGTTAGGCATAAGAAGCTCAGTAGAAACATATTCGGGACGAGATAGTCACAGAAACTCAAACGAGAACAGGCCAGTCACAGAAATCATAGAACCAGTAAAAATAATACAAGAAATAGAAGTTTAAACACAAAGATTTAGTTAAACAAAGTTGTAAAAGAAGTTCCGAAACCCTAATTTTTAGAAGAAGGTGAAAAACACTTGAAATCAACGATTCTTGTAAAGAGTTCTAAGGACACTGTAAAACATTAAAGAAATAAACTCAAACCGTCCTAGATCTGTACAGATATAAGAGATATAGGAAGAGATTAAGGTTTCAGAAGAAACCCATATAGAGATGAAAGAACCTGTCTAGAATCCCAAGGATCGTAACAGATACAACATGATTCTGCTCGAAATCATACTGGAGTAGCCAAGAACAGACAAAGTAACGAACCCTAGATGCAAGTCGGCATGGCCCTGGGCCCTTGAAGACCTTAGAGAAGGCAGGCATGGCATGAGAGAAGCCATTGGAGGCTTAGGAGACGATGAGAGGTCACCAGAGATGACCGGAGAGGAGAGGTCGGTGGTGGAAGGGCTAGGGTTAGGCTGAGAGTGTACTGAGAGAGGAGAGGATCTTAGGGCGGCGGATGTAGGAAAATGATTAGGGTTCGGGTGGTTTAGAATTAAAAAAGGCAAGAAACAATACGGGTCGTTGATCTTTCAGATCAACGGCCAGGATCTGATGGGTTTTGGGTCGGGTAGGATACGTTTGGGGCCTGGGTCGGGTAATTCGACTAGGAATTGGGCTGGGGTTGGGTTAAAATTGAGGCTAAAATTGAAATTCAATCTGGCTAGGTTTTAAATATCCAATTTAACCCTATATAATTTATAATAAATAATAAATGATTTCAAAAAATAATTTTATGTACCAAAATGATTTTAAAATAGATATTTAACATTTTTAAAAATATAGAAGATCATTTTATACATATAAAATGTATTTGTACATTAATAAGGCTAATATTGTAATTATATGCAAATTAGCTTTAAAAATGCAAAATGCAATTATAAAAAATGACACTTAAAATATTTTAACTATATTTTGGCATAAATATAGAATTTAGATGACTAAATTACCACAACAATAATTTGAGGAATAATTATTGGGGATTTTATGAGAAAAAAAGGGAAGGAAATAAATTAATTTAAAATCTTTACAAATATAGAAAAATTATAAAAACCTTGTGCATGCTTATATATGCATATATATGCTATTTTGAATGTATTTATGCATATTAAAAATATATAGAGAAAAATTGGGTATCAACAATCATGTCATGAAAGATGGCAATCATAGCTCTCATGTAAGTTACCCCGGCGTTCTTTAAATCAAACGGCATGACCCTGTAACAGTAAGTGCCCCAAGGTGTAGTGAAAGCCATATTTTCTATGTCTTCTTCATCCATCAGAACTTGGTGGTACCCAGCATAACAATCCACGAAAGACTGTATCTCGTGTTTGGCACAGTTGTCAACAAGAATGTGGATGTTTGGTAATGGAAAGTTGTCCTTTGGGCTTGCTTTGTTCAAATCCCGATAATCAACACACACTCGGGTTTTCCCGTCTTTCTTCAGCACTGGGACCACATTAGCCAACCATGTGGTGTATCGGACTACCCGAATCACGCCATCTTTCAACTGTTTGGTGACGTCTTCTTTGATCTTATCACTGATGTCCGTTTTAAACTTTCTCAGCTTTTGTTGTACAGTTTGATAACCAGGATAAGTTGGCAATTTATGCACTGCCAAATCAACACTTAGTCCTGGCATATCATCATAGGACCATGCAAACACGTCTTTGAATTCGAACAAAAGTTGGATTAATGTATCTCTAGTTCTTTCATCGGCGTGAATGTTTATCATGGTTTCCCGGACCTCTTCTGCACTACCCAAATTGACTGGCTTGGTTTCATTTAAGTTTGGCTTAGGCTTATTCTCAAATTGTTCCAGTTCTCGATTTATTTCCCTAAAAGCCTCATCTTCGTCATATTCCGGTTCTTGATTCATTATTTCACAGTTAGACAGCGTGTTAGGATCTGGGTATGAAGCCCGCAAGCATGTCATGTTATTTAAGTCCGCATTATTAGAATTGAAAAGAAAAAGATAAGAAAAATAACAAAATCAGAATAAAGGAAAAAGAAGACATCCATTGACGATGAAATATTGATTTCATTTCATTGAATTTGAAGATAGGAGGGTTTTCATCGGAATCAAAAAGACAGTAAAATAAAAACATTCGAGTTACACCCTGAAATAACTCGTAATGTAGAAAAGATGGCAAGACTGGACTACCGGGACTCCCGCCTGACAGGGAATGGGATAGCCTTCTAGTTCTGAAGCTTGGCATTTGGTCCCATGTACAGCACCTCAGCAGTGCTCGTGCCTTCCCCCGGCTGGACCATGTGGGACTCGTACAACATCTGTTTCATTGCTTCACAAATATCCTCAATTTCCTCGGTCGTGAAGGCCTCTTCCTCTTCTTCTTCTTCTTCATACTTGGGTTTTAACAAATGACTTGGCGAGATGCGGAACAGGCTGAGGCAGGGCCCACCCATTTTCTTAGCTCATCAGCCCATTTTACGTCGGCATTTGTAGCTTGGAAACCTATGCCGAAGAACTTCTTACTGGCGGTCAAAGTGATGGGCTTTGTGATGCCTTGTAGAGACACCCCGAGCCCTTTCCCGGGCTTATACCCATGTTTAATCATTTCACTGGCTACCATAACCGATGCATTTGATAAGCAAGGTTGAGGAAACGGAGCCCCTTCTTCACATTGGTCGGCGACCACAATCTTGAAGGCTTTATAGACAATGTGCTCACTTCCTTCTCTAGCTTCGAGACACGGGACTGACGGATCCCTATAAGTGGACTATTCTTCCACCCTGTGAACAACGATTTCTTGGTTTACAAGTTCAAACTTGACCATTTGGTGGAGAGTGGAAGGCACAGCCCCTGCAGCGTGAATCCATGGTCTTCCTAGGAGAAAGTTATACGAAGTATCCATATCCAGAATCTGGAAAGTCACTTCGAAATCCACAGGGCCAATGGTCAGAATCAAGTCAATTTCCCCTATCGTATCTCACTTGATGCCATCAAAAGCGCGCACACAGACATTGTTCGGTCTAGTCCTTTCTCTCCAGATTTCCATCCTCTATAGCGTTGAAAAAGGGCAAATGTCAACTACGGACCCACCATCTAGCATAACCCTCTTCACATTTGACAGTCAAGTGAAGGGCTTTGTTGTGAGGCTCCTTCTGGGGGCAAGTCATCACGGTTGAAAGAAATCCTATTGACTTTGAAGAAACGTTCAGCCATTCTTTCCAATTGTTCGACTGAAGTTTCAACCGAGATGTATGCCTCGTTCAATGTTTTCAAAAGTACCTTCTGATGTTCATTTGAGCTCAAAACCAGGGATAAAAGCATAATCTTGGAAGGAGTCTTTCGGAGCTGGTCAATTATGGCATATTCCGAAGTTTTCATTTTTCGGAAGAACTGTTCTGCCTCTTCAGAACTAACAGACTTTTTGGGTGGAAACCATTTCTCCTTGTTCAGTTTTGATCTCTTTAGCTCCTCCGGGTTGTGGTACTTCCCAGATAGGTTCATTTCATTCACTTCCCCCATAATCTCTTTCCCCTTGTAAGTAACCACTGTTTTGCTGTAATTCCAGGGGACTGCAATGGGGTCTCTCATAGGGCTCTGTGGTGCGCGGCTGATAACCATTGGCTCAGTCAGCCTTGGTGAAATTACCGGCCCTCGCGCCACATAGGTCCCTTTTGGTACATACAATTTTGGCACATTCAGTACGACTTTCTTTTGCTCCAATCTTTTGGTAGCGTTGAACATGAGCTTCTTTTTCCTTGGGGCACAGGGAACATAAAGAATTGCATCCTTAGCAGGTGTTGCCCCAGCTTTTGTTTCCACAGCTTTTTTTGCAACTTGAGGAGTTGGAGTGATTTTCTTCTTCTCATTTCTGGCCTGTTTTGCCACCGCTTTAGGTCTTGCCTCTGAATCAACAATGGCGATGATGGCTTTCTAATCTGGATCAAACCCTTTATCATAAAAAATCATTCCAATGACTGGCCCGTTGTTGTGAGCCGGTAATGAGTTGTTAGTCACATTGGGGACTTCCTCGTCCCTCGGTACCACTCGCTTCTGTTCTATCAAATTCTCAACTGCCCTCTTCAGAGTCCAACAATTCTCCGTGTCATGTCCCTCTGCCCCTGATTGATAGGCACACCTAGTGTCGGGCCGATATGATGGAGACTCTAGATTTTGCCGGTTTGGAGGCACAGGTTGCAATAGGTCCATCTGGACTAACTTCAGAAACAGGCTAGAGTAAGACTCACCAATAGGGGCGAAACCGCTTTTCTCGGGAGGATCACGGGGGCGTGTATTATGCTGGTAGTTGTTTTGTCGTGGACGGGGGTTATATGGAGCTTGGTGAGGATGGTTATTTCTAGGAGGTAGAGCTCAGTTTTGGTTGTAGTGCTACTTTGGCCGTGTGTAGGGTTGGGCATCCATCACCGCATAGGGAGGCGGTGTCACGGCGTATGCTGCATCTTGGTGAGGGTAGTAGTGTTGCGGGGTTCTGGAAGGCGGGCAAGAATAAACATCGGATCGATGAGGGTTTCTCGAACTTGAAGCCATCGTGGCTCCTTCTTCCCTGTTCTTCCGATTTGCTAAACCTCCCGAGCTGTTCTGGATAGCTTGGGAAGTGGCTCTTAAAGTATATTGACTTATGATGTGTCCAGTTTTCAAGCCATTTTCTACCATTTCTCCGATCTTTATGGCTTCGGCAAAAGGTTTGCCCATGGCAGACATCATGTTTTGAAAGTAATCAACCTCTTGGGCCTACAAGAAAACATTTCTCTGCCTCATCCATTGGTGGTTTCACTCGAGCTGCTTGCTCACGCCACTTGATAGCATATTCACAGAAACATTCCGCGGTTTTCTTCTTGAGATTGGTCAAGGAATTTCTATCTAGGTCTATGTCGACATTGTATTGAAATTGCCTGACAACATCTCGAGCCAGGTCATCCCATATATGCCAATGGTAGATGTCTTGGTCCATGTACTATTCTGACGCAATTCCTGTTAAGCTTTCCCCGTAATAGGCCATCAAAAGTTCTTCCTTTCTACCCGCCCCTCTCAGCTGATCGCAATATCTTTTCAAATGAGCGATCGGGTCTCCATGCCCATCGTATTTCTCAAACTTTGGCATTTTAAAGCCAACAAACAAATGGACATGAGGAAACATGCACAAATTGGAGTACGAAACACTCTTTTGGCCACTCATGTTCTTAAGACTTTGTTCGAGACTTTTTATTTTCAAGCCATTTCTTCTTGCTCGGGGTTTCTTGTCGTTCTTTCCTGTTCTACTGGAGACTCGTATCGTGGGTGCTGAGGGTAGGAGTTTGGGGTGACATGAGCTGTGTCTAACTGAAATTGTGGTACTTGAAAAGTGAAGGTTGGCGGTTCGAAACATGGCCTAGGCACTGTTAGCTATGCCGTAGTAGCAAAGAACATGGACCTGGTCATATCCCCGCATTCATGGCACTTTATTACAACATAATCAGCAATTTCTTTAATCCTCATTCTGATGATGCCCTTTTCTTGGAGTAGGCGTCCAATTTGTTGAGACCGGGCCTCCAATACCTGTGTGGCCGTATGGTTTTGCTCTTGCAATTGTTGCATGTCTTCTCCTAATCGGGACATCAGTGTGTAGCAATGCTCTCTTTCAGCTTTGAAATTCTTTGTTTGCTTGGCCATTTCATTTTCAAGAGTAGTCGGCTTCTTCTTTAAAATGTGGCTCCTTTGTCATACTTTTGCCTTAGCCGCTGAGCAAACCTGGTCCGTTCTTCTGCATTCTTTGCCAATTTTTCCCGAGCTTTTTCCAATTCATCCTCGGCCTTTGCCAAGTCGAACCCATAATCTTGCACCTTTAACCTTAAACTGCTTATAAGTTTTACATCTTTCTTGCTCCTCACAGGCATTTCAGCAGCTGTCCTCATGTCCCGGAGTTGGGCTCGGAGCACCTCGTTCTCCCAGGTCAACCTTCTCTTTTCTCCTTCAGCTTCTTGCACCTGTAAGTCATTATTAAATGCGACGTTTCTTAACTTTTCTTCTAAGGCGTGAATGATGGCTTGATATTTCTTCTCTTTTTCTCCCCAGGCCAACCATTCTTGGATTTTGTCATCAAAAGCCTGAACATGAGGTCTTTTGGCGGGCCTTTCGGGCTCGGGCTCTGGATCTGGCTCATTATTAGAATAAGACCTTCTCTCAAACCATATGGCATAATTTGGGTCCACTTCTCCTCTCGCAGGACCTGGTACTTGGGTGTCATCTTTTAGATATCGGCAACCATTCCAATCTTGTTGGACGAAAGCCTCGGGTAATTTAGCTTTTGGGTGTAGCTCAATGACTTGGGTACTTAAATCTTCATCTTCGGGCACCACTTGATTTCTTCCCAACTGCCTTAAAACTCTCTGCGGTGCGTATGGTTGGACACTTCTTAAACACATCAACATCAAATAACCTTTCGTAGCAGTCATGTGTATGACTTCCCTTACCGGGAGCCATCCCAAAGTCCATTCAATCCGGCTTGGCTTTAGAGTTCTTAAATGGAAGACCTAGGCTTCAAACCCTTCTGGAGAATTGTAATCTCTCAATCTCTCCTCATAACTCCCGATGAAGTTGTTCTTGCTCGAGCCATAACTCATAAACTTGTGGTGATGGCGGAGGTGCTCGATCAACCACATTTGCAAAAGAATGTTTCAACCTTCAAAAAGCTGAGCCCCGGACATACACAATGTTAATGCTCGATAGATGTCTGCCAGTATCAATGGAGCAAGTGTTTGATCTTCTTTGGCAATGAGGACTTACGCAATTCTCGGATGTCTATTGTCCCTTCTGCATTTGGGAAGACCATAATTCCCAGAAACGCCACTGTGAAAGCAAAGCGACAATGAATTTGCCAGGTACTCTTATTTTGCTTGTTGTTTAACCCCTTTTCATGTGTTTCAAATACAGTCGAGTGCCCAAACCTGGAGTACAGGAAGTAAAAGGAACAACATCCTTTGTGTATATTGGTCTTCCTTATTTGCTTACTGATGTTCAAGAGATCAAAGAAACGGAGCACGGAGGGAGGCCTTGGGAATATAAGTTGCTGATTTCTCGAGTCCCGACCAAAACCAGCATACCCGACTATTTCTTCCAAGGTGGGAGTAAGCTCAAAATCTGAGAAGCGGAAGACATTGTGGGCGGGATCCCAGAAAGTTACTAAGGCCTTAATTAGATCATTCCGTGGTTTAACATTCATGATGTCTATGAGAGCGCCTGAATGCTCTGTTATCCAATCTTGACCATCTTTGTCTAAGTCATACCACCACATTTGAAGTTGCAGTGGAGCCTGCTCTACAACCGTTGATGGCAGATTCTGGACAATGTTCATTTTGTACCTGTGAACAGTTGAGGTTAGGGTTGAATCCAGTGGACTCTTTTTGTAAAACAAGTTTTCAATTTTCTAAAGAAAAAACAAAGGAGAGTGGCTACTTATGCAATATTAGCAACAAGTGGTTATTTTTGCAATAGTAGCCCCTTCACACTTTCAAATAAAGGTTGAGGCCGGAGAAGGGCACTTTATGGAAAAAATGATGTCCCATTGACATACATGCCCATTCTTTGCGAGAATAGCCCTTCGGCAATTTGAAGATGTTCTAAGGCTATTCCGGCAAAAATGGATCGAGACATAACCGAGCTCAGCATATTCTTTTGACCAAAGCACTGGACATATTTATTTTATTTTTTGTTATTTTTGCAAAATGAGGCTGAACCCTATGTAAGTTGCCTACGTATCTCACATCCAGTGAGAATCAAACCAGCGTAGTTCGGGCAGTTTTGACATAATCGGGAAAACATGTTATTGACCCATTTTTGAAATGACTCTTTTTTTGATTTTCAATCATTTTTCTTTTTCTTTTTCGTTTTTTTTTTTTTTTTTTGAAAATTTTGGCAGAGTTTCAGAACATTTTAAAATACCAAGGTTTTCAGAATCGGGCTTAATTTTTCTCCTATCTCACTCTTGGTTTTTCTCTTGATTTTCTTTTCCTAGCCGATCAACATACAAGCCGAAGCAAATAAATGTACAAATAGCACGTAAGATGCATCGGGATGGACTTTTATTTCGGGTACACCTGTCCTACACGGACCCAACCCCTGTGTTGAATCCCCAAAGTCAAATGCACGTGATGCAAACAAACGTTCCTACTAGGGATCCGGCATGAGGTTATGTTATTCTAGGTTTAAACCTGGGGCTCTGTTCTAGACACGGCTTACCCGAGCGGACAGCTCGAGCCGAGGTGGGGGCAATGTACTGGGAGCACGAAAGTCTACCCGGCCAAGTTGGTGACCCAGCCTCATTCTATTTGGTATGAGTTCTAAATGAAAAGTGGGCCACACGTGCGTGTGCACCATATTTTTAGAAGACTCAGAAGGAAGGCGTAAGAAGACAGTTTAATATAGTTCAAATAATATCAAAGCGGTAAATAAGCGGCAATTAGCACATTAGGTCCACAAACACAATAATATAATCAAACAATAAAACCAAGCATTGATCATATTAACAAGCTCGAATTCTGAATCCTGCACCAGAGATTCTGGGTTCTTATCCCCAGTAGAGTCGCCAGAGCTGTCACACCTCCTTTTTCCTGAGATTTTTTCCAATTTAAGTGACATTAATCGAAATGGAATTATTTATTTATTTCAGAGTCGCCACTTGGGATAATTTATGGTGTCCCAAGTCACCGGTTCAATTTAAATCCAAAATCGAGGAAATAGACTCTATTTTTGGTCCGCAAACACAGAAGATCGGGTAGGGAATTTTGTTAACCCAGGAGAAGGTGTTAGGCACTCCCGAGCTCTGTGGTTTTAGCACGGTCGCTCAACTATTAATAATTGGCCTAATTATCTTATTTTGTTATATTTTTAAACCTGTTGTGCATTTTAACTTTATAAATTCTCTTATTTATTTATTGAATTATTTTTGGAACAAGTCACGATGTCGTACACTTGTCGTTTTGGTACACATTACAAACTGCGCCACATGAAATGCACCCACAATTTACAACATGTTTATTTTGTTATTATTCGAAGTTGTGGTCGGGTCACATGAAATGCACACCCGAATTGGGGATTACATATCGTGACCATTCCACGGGAACTGTACCCATGGCCAAGATGATTTATTAATCGCGCCTAATGCAAACTACGATGTTCACGGATTATTTTTCCTAAACTACTTTGAGATTGTTGTAAGGTCATGATATATGGAAATTGTTATAGATAAATTGCAAGACAGTCATTGTTTTGGGAAACTCATTTATATCTAAGGCCCTTAAAAAGAGTTAACCTATTTACATTGTATGATGTTGGGCCTGGCAAGCATTTCGGCCCAGGTCCATTACTCTCAAAGGGAACTAAAGACTCACTTTACATGTTTTAGTCTTGTTCAAGCGAATTAAAGCCTTCCTATCTCACTACTGCTTTCAATTTTATGAAACAAATTGGCCAAAATCAACTAAACAAGAGTGAAACTATAGAACTATCTCACATGGAACAAGACAGATTATTAGTTTGAGAAAAACAACAACTAAACGATGGCGTACTCCTTTTAACCAACAATGAATAATAAAAGTGAAAGAGCTAAGAAAATAAAATCTATAGTAACTCATTCAAACATCAAGAATTAAAAATGCCAAGAACAGTGCAGATGGACAACTGAACTATTTAAATCAATCTAAAGCAAAACAAACTGA